TTAGTCAACAAGTGAAAGTCTGGGTTCAGTTCAGAGCACAAATAAACCTCTGGTTTCCTTAATTGTCCAGCAAGCTTTACCTCAGAGCAGTTGCAAGTCAGTTTTTCCTTAATCATCCAACAAGCAAAACCTTTAATCATGGCTCCATCTTTAGGATTCCTCAGGTTACACCTTGCCACGGTTTCTCCACCTCCTTTCTACCACCAACCATCATTCATAATTAATAAAGTGGAAAACACTCTCTTATATTGGTCCCACAGCTGTTGATGATTTTTAAGACCATGTGTGCACAGTTAAGGGAGATGGAGACCTTGCCCCAAATAGGGGCTAACACAATGGATAGAAAAACTAATATTCAAAGTTTCTGACACCACAGTGTGCACTCAGGTACATATATATACATACACAAATGTCTCAGGAATCTTTGTAATAGTCTTTTTATGTTTAGAAACCTCCTTTCCCAATGAGAAATGGGAGTCTTTTGGTTCATAATATGTTACTTGTTCACTGTAACCATAATCTCTAACTACCCTGGCCATCTCTCTTCCCCACCAGTTCCATATACCTGCTTCTTATTGCCTCACTGCACTTAGCCATCTTACACTTGAGATGCTTACTCTTGAGCACATATGTTGAGGAAGGAAGAAGGGTAATAATAGAACCAGAGCTTTTCAGGTGAGCGACATGTGCTCTATTTTTCTTTCTTTTGGTACAAGGCTTGGCATAGATGCTTTATGAATACTGTATGAAGGAATGATTAAATGGATAAGGGGAAAAGAAATTAAGAAACTTGGGCAGTTACTGATCATTGTTGAATTGAAGAATGCCATATCAAGCTCATCAGAGAATAAAAATGTAACCGTTCAGACCAAAGTATCTTCTTTATGTGGAATGGTTTCTGTGAGGTTTCCACACTCATAAGCTGCTCTGAAAGGCCCCAGAAGAAAAGGCCAACTGTGGGGAACAGGGCTTCAGCAGCCAATGAGCTGATGAAACTCTGGTTTTGAGTCTATTCATAGGTGAGGCAGTCAAATACATGAGACAGAAACCAGGAGGTGCGACAATGACAACAGGTGCAAAGCACAGTGCGAGACTGGGCTTGAATTCCTGTGTGTGTGTGTGTGTGTGTGTGTGTGTGTCTTCACACATGTGTTAGATGGAATGTAAGACAAATACTCCAGAAGAAAAAGTTCTGTCCACCTGAGTCTTCTGAAATGACATCTGGCTTGCAGTATTGCATGACATTTCTTGTGCAAATCTACTGGGATGTATAGTTTTATGACAACTGTGTCTAAAGGTGCTGGATTAATTCTTCTCTAATAGTGTGCAGCTGTAAATGCACATATGTAGAACTAACTTTATAGGTCTGTAAAGTCAGTTGTCATCTTAATTGAGTTTGCACTAATCCTTACTTGTGCTAACTATCTGGACCATGTTGACAGTCCACAAATGTACTTATGTTGCTAGACTCCCTTTGAGAGCAGGTTCTCTTGGTCACTCAACACCATTTCTAAGCCACGTCTCTCTTGCCTGCCTCTTCCCGTGGTGACCATGCTGTAGCAGTTGCCTTTGCAGCTGGGGGCCTCATGGCCCAAGTTCAGCCAGTGAGAGGCCTTCTGGGAGGTAGTTTCATTTTCCCCTTATCACTTTGTTGAGCTTGGGATTCTTGAGTCCCTGGGCCTACTGATTCTTCTCTTTTTGTCTTCTCTCAATGTACTGGGTCACCCCACACCCAGGTGGCTTCTGGGCTGCAAATGATTACCATCTTCAAGATCATAATTGGTCTTAAGGAGGAGAAAAGAGATGGGGGTGTGCTAGGGGGAAAGTATAAGGGAAAGATGAGAATTTGGTGATGGTGGTTGTTCTGTGACATCAAGTTAAAACCCCTTTCATAGCTGACCCTCCAGTAGGCTTTCAGCCCATAGATAACACGGAAGGAGAGTACCCATCTTTTCCCGCAGAAAGCAGAGAGACGGGTATGAGGGAACGAGTGGGATTTGGTAGAAGCTGGGAAAATCCTCCCCTCAACCCTTCTAACTTCTTGAAGGTGCAGAGGAGGCTCTGAATCTGTGCTCCCTCTGCCTGTTGGGCTGTGCTGGGTCTCTGATGGGCTTTCCCATCCCCATGTGCGTCTCCTGTGTCAGGACTCACAGCCTCAGGCTTTGAGTCTTGTGTAGACTTTCTGGCCTGAGAATGGATATTGTAAAAATTGAGATAATTTAAAAAGTTAAGAACTGTGCCTGATACATAATTGTTGCTGCTGTTGCTAGGTGTGTGTCATCTAGTCAAGCATGACTCACAGCGATCCTGTGAACAACAGATCTGAACCCTGTCCTGTCCTGTGTCCTCTTCACCATCTCAGACACACTTGAGCTCATTGCTGCTGTCCCCGTGTCACTTCATCTCAGTGAGGATCTCCCTCTCCTTTGCTGACCCTCCACCTTTCCCAGAAGATACCCCTTTCCAGAAATAACTTCTCCTTGCAATGTGCCCAGAGTCCGTGAGTTGAAGTGTCACCATCCTTGCCTCCAAGGAGCACCCTGAATGCACTTCCTCAGGATATACCTGTTCTTTTGGTGGTTCAGGGACTATTCAGTGGTATTCTCCAACACCACAACTCAAAAGCATCAGTAATTCTTCCGTCATCTTTATTCATTATCCAGCTCTTAGACACTAGCAAGTAATTGAAATATTCTAGTCTGAATCAGGGGCATGCTAATCTTTAAACTGACATCATTGCTTCTCATTAATTTGGAGAGGTCCTTGACAGTGAACTTGGGCAATGCAATATGTCTCCTGACTGCTGGAGCAAGGGATCCAAGTATGAGGAAATCATTGATAATGTTAATCTTTTCTCCATCTGTCATGATACTGCCTGTTGGCTCAGTAGTGAGGATTATTGTCTTCTTGATGTTGTGATACAACCTTTATTGAAGGCTGTAGTCCTTGATCTTCTACAGGAAATGTCTCAAGCCCCCTTCACTTTCAGCAAGCAAGGTTATGTCATCTGCGTAATGCTGGTTGTTGAAGAGTCTAACAACAATTTTTGTTAGGTGTCCTTGGGTCAACTGTGACTCACAGCAACCTTATGAATAACAAATCTGAACCCTGCACCGCCCTCACCTTCTCTAATATGCAGTAAATCCTAACTTTTGATGTTATGGAATTCCCTGGGTAGTGCAAATGGTTACTATGCTTGGCTATGGAAGAGTTAGAGGCACAAGTCCATCCAGAGGCCCTTGGAAGAAAGACCTGGTGACTGATCTTGTGAAAACACAACCACTGAAAATCTTCAGCAATATCATTCTGACACGCAGGGGGTCGCCATGTGTTGGAAGATCCTAATGGCAAACTCTCCTGCTGTCTTGTGTCTGAGCATGTGGGGTCAGTCTGTCGGAGTGTAAATTTTGTCCACTTATGAACAAAAGGCAAAGGCTTTTACCATGAATAGTTTTCAACAAGTCAGATAGAAATGTGTGCATTTTTAATTCCGTGTTTGTACTGAGGAAAAGAGAATTTTAATTTTTGTAGAGTTTTTTTCTTCTCAGAACCCGAGAACGGAATTAACACCAATAGTGTGTGTATATCTGTCTCTTCTCCTCTAACACCTCATTCCCTAGGACTTTGCCAGCATCTGGGAGGTCTCGTCAGAAATGTTCTTTTAAATCCTCTGCATTCTTCCAGAAGCCCAAGGGGTTTAACAAGTTCTGATTTTAACGGAAATGGATGAAAAAAAGAGGGGGTTAAAAGTACAGATTGCATATAGAGCTTAGTTCTTTACCCCCCAAATCTTTGTGTTTGTCAAAGTAACAAAGCAGAACCTGGAGATTTTGTGATAGGTTCTTGGTCAGAAAGTGTAAAATTGCATACTTATTAGGAGATAGAGAATAGAAGGGGTGCTCTGGGGGTGTAGTCCATAGAAAGTTGCAGAGCTAACACAAAGGCAGTGCCTCTCTGCTGGTTGAATCCACCGGTGACTCAGTGGGGCAAAGATGGGTGTTTTGTGCAGTTTGCAGCCTCAGAAAGCTGCTAAGAGTTAGCTGGGTTTCAGTTCTAACGTGATGACTGGGTTTTGAGAAGAACATAGTAGATTGCCTATGCCATTATACAGTGCCACGTCTTATTGAGTGGACTCCACACGATCAGTAAACTTTGATTTTGAGAAAGAAGGCGATAAAGGGGAAGTACGGTTGGAAAATGGGTGATTTAACAAAGCTTTCTCTAGGCTACCGATCTGAGAATAGAGAAAAATCGTTATTGAAACGAGAGGCAGCTTTGGCATATTTGAGTGAACATACAGTAGTGACGTATTCATCCAGCTGTTCAGCTGTGGTAATAATTAAACTCCTTGTCTTACTTCCCCCCCCTTTTTTTTTTTGCAGGAGAGGGGCATATGGGGAGTGTCTTATAACAGTGACTTCAGTCCCTAAGAATCAAATGCTGGTCTAAAACTATTTATAGGACACAAAGGAATAAATTTAGTGAAATAAGGCTCTTTTTCTGAAATCATTCCATTCATTGTTTAAATTATTATTTGTGTTTTAATGACATTACAAGAGATTTGGCTCAATTTTTGAAAAGCCCCCTGGAGGTAGAGAAAAAAAAATTGTAGATTAGCACTGGGTAAATCTTTTTTTGATGGAAGAAACAACAGTTGTTGAAATTTTGATATCAGCTGAGATTCCAGAGGTTTCCAGAATTGAAGCAAGTAGCAGAGAGGCGCAGGGAATACTGTGTTTGTGACGGTTTGTGTTTATACAATCAGTAGCAGGCATTGGGAAAATTCTGTGTGAATCAGGCATTGGCTCAGTTTCTGGCTGCTAGACTCAGATTGTTCTGCCTGAAAATCTTATTCTACAATATGCCAGCATGAAAAGGCCACTGGGTCAAAGTTTCTTCTTCTGTTGTTATTCAGGTGGTAAACGACATGGTATTGGAGAGGGAGGCTGGGGCAGATCAGAGATGGTGGGAGAATGGAGGACAATTTTCTGCCTATTCCCATGACGTGAGTCAGAATCATGTTTAGAGAAAAAAAGACACCCGGAAATTTTGACATTGAGAGACCTTCGGCACTGAAGAGTCAACATGGAGACCAAGGGGCCTCAGCACTAGCTTTTTTTTGTTTTGTTTTTTATTAATTTAGTTTGTTTATTTTTCATTTCAATGAACATCTACAGAGATTTTGGAATTCCATTCATTCATTGTTGC